AATGCAACCAGGCCCTGCAGAAAAGGCAGCGTACCTGCAGGTGGCTGGGGTTGTGCTGGGGTACAAACATAGAATTAAAAGAGCAGTAAGATTAGCACCCTACTTTAGGTCAGCTTTCTCTGCGCAGTCAGTGGGATTCTTTCTGAGCCTTACTGTCTGTTATGAATTCATTACAGCTTCCCATTATTTCAGGGGAAGGCCAGTTTATTGACAAACATATAATCTATCTCTATAGATCAGAATTTCTTTGATTGCTGGAAGTTGTTTTTTCTAAGCCAGCCAGAAATTCAGTCTCTCAATACACTGAAGTGACACCAGTGGTTTCTCCAGTAAAAATATATTAGGCAGATTTCCTCCTTTTATCGCATATAACAGATGTTACTGTGAAGTTAATGTGAGAAAACCAGTGTCTCCCTAATCAGAAACGTGCACTGTTGTTGACTACAGCTGCCAGAGTACCTTAGTAGCTCTGGACTGGGGTCTTGCAGTGATGCTCAGGCCCATGGCACTGCTCCATTGAGCTTTCCTTCACTTTCCTTCACCAGATAGTTCATAAAGCAGAACAACACTTGGCATTTCTTGTGGTCTGTACGTTTGATAGAAACCCAAATTATTCCCACAGCAAATCTGTCCATTTACAAGTGGCTGTGGTGATGGGCAGGATATTTTAGGATGAAATTCGGCACCAAACTCATTCCCAGCTGCTGTGGATGCCTGGGACCAGCCAAACAGCCCAAGTGCCTGGCACCTTGGTCCGTAGCCCTACATCATGTTGCTGGGTCCAGTCCTCTTGACATGAGATGGTTTATAGCAATTCCTCCAGTAAATGGTGTCCAAAACTCTTCCCACGTGAGCCAAGGCAGGCTGCTGTGTAGTTAGGAGAGGCAATGCCATCAACACCAGCTTGGAGAAACCAAAAGTTCTTCATCCCTGCTGGCAAATTGCATATTGGAGAGGTTACATGGTAGAGAGCACAACAGACCTGCTGCGAAGAGGTGTTTTCAACCAGCAGACAGTGAATTGTGCCTGGCAGAGAAGGAGTTAGCGATGCCACAGAGTGGACAGATAAAAAGCTAGATCTAGATAAGGCTGAAGTGACTGAAGGAAATGAGATGGAACATTTGAGAAGCCATAACTGATTGCTTCTAGTGTTAATAGATCTGATTTCTTTCTTAATTGGTTGTTTGATAAGATTTAATGTATGTGTTGTAAATGAAATAAAAGGCAGGCAGATGGTCCAAAAACGTCACAGCAACAGTAAGCCTGTGACATGAATATAGGTTTGTCTCTTTAATATTTGATACAAGCATGAATTAGTTGTTTCTTGAATCCATTAGGAAGTCTGCATGAGCGATGGGAATAGCTGCACTGCGTCCCCTGTAGCATCCTGAGCTTTGCAGGGTGACATTTTCCAGGCTGGAGCAAGGGCAGTGCTGGGCACACAGCCTGGGCTCTAGCTGCCACAGGTGCAGGTCCGGGGCCACGGCTGGAGCTTCACTCTGTCAAAGTACTGTAAAAACCTCTGGATGATGGGAAAGCCTGAACACGGGGTAATACATCATCTGATGGGAGAGGAGCATGTATGTGAGAGAGGGAGTGCCTGTGATCAGCTGGTTGCTTAAGTTCCTGATAGATCTGCTGTCACAGCTGGAAAATGTGAACACTATGGATATCCTAATCTTTGATTTTCAAAGGCATTTCCAAAGACTGCACAGTGGGACTGCAGGGTTGGTATTTACGAGGTCAAACTGGGCTGGAGTTCTCTTTCTTTGTACTGAAAAATGTATGTATTTTTGAGGCCATGTAGCAGAAAAGCTCTGAGCAAGCACTGTAAAATAGCCCAGTGCACACTGCTGTAGTGGTTGGCAGCAGAAGTCAGAGGATGCAATCCAGAAATCAGGGGTGAATTGAGCAGTCTTTTCAAATACTGGCAGGAGTAGCATCGCGTGGGATAAGCAATGGCATCCAAGCGAGTGACTGAGCTACACCTCGCTGTGGGCTTCCAGGAAAATTCCCTGAGCACACGTATTTCCAGGCTTGACCAGGAGTCCCTCAGCCATCAACGTACCTGACACTGTGCCCTATTTACCTCCCGTGCTACAAATGCCCTGGAGGTACAAAAAAAGCTGGAAAATGGGGGGTGGGGGGGAATACCCATAAAGTTAACAGATGGCTTTCCAAACTCCTGGAGGTTACAGTTGGTGTTTGATGAAGAGGCTTTGTCCTTCTCCTGGCTGAGCCAGGCTTCCCCGGTAGCCTCTCCTAACGATGATCCAAGGTGTTTCTTCCTTGTACTGTAAGTGCCTTGTAAACGCTGGGGGCAGATTCATGGCAGAACATTTTCTCCGTCAAACACTTAATTAGTGAGTGTTTTGGGTCGTCCTCCCCCCCAGATGAAGCAGCTCACTGGAAATCTTGCTGCCATAGCACTTCACCGAGCTGCAAAGAAAATTGTCTCTCGGAATCATTTAGTTGCAGATGGGAGATAGATGGTTTCAGTTTTGATATGGGTGTTTAAAATAATGTGTAGAGAAGGTTTTTCAAGAAAAGCATAAAGGCAAACTATTTATTAGGATGAACATCTCACACAATTTCATTTTTAAGAGTATGGAAAAGGTAATTCTAGGGAAAAAAATGTCCTTAACGGAGAACATCGTCGGCTGTAATTTAGAGCTACCCGATCAGCACGTGTTGGAGGGAGATAAACTGTATCATCTGTTCTCCCCTTACCATGGCTGCGAGGCTGATGTTTTATACTTTTGCAGATGAGCCTCTTTCAGGGTGTCATGAACAACTATCAGTCTATCATACGGGCTATAGAGAGGGCATAGTCATTGCTGAAAGCGTGTCAGTGGATTACAGCAATAAAATTTTTCACTGCTTCAAACAAATGAAGGATGTGGTTGACAAGGGAATATATTTACTGTTCTTTTAAATAAAGAATGCAGGAGCTGGTTTTCAACACCCTTCCTGCCCCTGCTACTTTGGAGCCTGGGCCTGTTTCTGTAAGCAGCTTGATAGGGAGAGCTGTGGATATATAGGCTCTTAGCCCTTCACTTCATATGGGAAGCAAGTTAAAAGAGATGCAAGCTTAATTAAATAGTTTCTAGAGGTAAATTTCTTAGGTTTAGATCAGGTACCATAATTGTGCCACATTGGTTTTCAAAATTTTCTATTTTGTGCCATTTGATTGCGTGTGGAACATAAACTGTGCGCTACAAATGCTTGGAAACACAGTGGAAAAATGTCTGTGATCCATAAATATGTAATTCACTAATTTCAGCAGTGATGCTCTCATGTCAGCTGCATCTTCTGCAGAACGAGTGCTGATTTATCCCATGAAAGCAGCCAGTGCGCAGACACGAGGCAGGCCTGCCCCATCCCAAATCCCACATTAGGCATCTTGATGATTTAAGTAATAATTTATTGTCTTTTTATTTAACATTGCAATTAACATGATAAATAAGTGCAACAGTATTGTTTGAAATGTAATATACAATTAAGCCCAATTAATTAATTGGCCTTCAATGATCAGGAGGAGAAAGATGTTCGTTGTTTTTTTTATGTGAAGAGATAGTTTGTTTTGATGAAAAATGTGTTGTGAAGCAGCTTTCAATGGAAACAACTTTCATTTTTAGGGTAAGCACAGGCTGGGTGAGGAGCCAGGGAGGCTCTTCCCAATCCTGGTGCTGACTGGGAGCAGCCCAGCACCAGCTCCAGCATCCCAGCCCTCCCCTGGGCAGGGTGAGGTGTGCTCTGGGCGGGCAGGGGAAGCTGCAAGCAGCCAGCACAGCCCCACAGGAAGAATTCCACAGTGGTAAATCCAGCCTAAATCCTGCTCAGCACTGCTTGAGCAGTGACCTGCTCCCATCCTGGACACATCCAGCCGCCCATGTCGGCCGTGCACGCCTGGCTGCTGCCAGAGCCCTGCGCGTCCCCGGGCCGTGGCACGCTCTGCTGCAGCGTCTCGCTGATGTGCGGAAAGTGTCCTTTGGCCGGGAGGCAAAGGGACCTGGGATGTGACTGCGGAAGCCCAGAGGGTGCTGTGGTTTCCCGGGATGCCGTGCTCTGCCGGAGCACAGGGTGCACGCTTTGGTCTCCCAAATAGTTTAACATTTGTGGGTATTCATTTAGATGTGGTGTGCAGGTTAAACATAACGTACGATCGCTGCTCCTCTCATTGCTTCCAATTAAACCTTGCTTGTTAGTTTAACCTCTAGGTAATCCCATCAAACAATTGATGTCAAGGAAACACTGCCCACAGTGGCTCTGGATGAGTGGCCATTAATTTTAATTGCCTTGATATTAAAGATTAAGAAGTATTGGGACTAGCAGAATGGAAACGATCTGATGTCAAGCAAATCCACTCGTTGAGGCTTCCCCAGGCTGCTGGTGATATTAAAATTTTACTGTGAGAATTAAATAAACCTTTATTAGTGATGGCTGTTGTTTGATTGGTCCAGGGGCATGCATAAACAGAGGGGTCTGCACACATCCATGGACAATACAGTTGATGTACAGAGATTCCTCAATTATGAAACTGTTAATAAAGCATAATCTGATTGTCCACAATAATTATTTGCTAGGTTTCATTAATGTATTATTGCTTCTTTGACTGACAAGGTAATATTAAGTGCAATATATAGAATACGGTGGAGTATCACCTAGGGAATAGAATGTATAAGGTACCTTGCGTAGTACTGTTAAAAGCTACAGGCTTTTCATTAATTGTGTTTAAACAAAAGCTGTGCTACATAAAATACAGCAGGATTTGTATCCTGCCTGCAGTGGGGTGCCTCACTGGACTCTGTAGTGGAGCATGGGATGGGAGAGGTGCTGCAGGGCTGCCATGGCTCGTGGGGGAGCACAGGACCCCACCCTGGCCTCACACCATGCCCAGGGCCTGGGTGATAACCACTTGTGTTATTGCTGGTCCCCTGTCCTTTACCTCTGTGTTGTTGCAGATGCTCTTTTGTCTCATTAGCCATGCCTGTCGTCCGTGTTACAAACTGGGTTTGTTGTTTAGGAGCTCTGTTACAGCAGCTGAAGTTAAACAAAGCCACTGAGAAAGACTGTACCAACTTTCCTGAGTGGCTGCAGCCGTGACCTCTGTGTGGGTCAATAGTTGGTGCCCCGTGAGCCATCTTGGCTTCAGTACAGTATCTTCAAAGGGAGATGACAAAGTGGCTTCTCAGCCATTACTGATTTATATGATTCCTTTCATTTTCAGCCAACCAAACGCGATTCTATGAGTGGGCTGCCAAGGTTGTTCCAGCCCAAAAACAAAGAACAATTGCTCTCACTACCTGCTCACCCTCACTTAACCGGACCTTGGTCCTCCTTGAGCAGCCTTCGGGGTCTTGCATGATTTTGTTGACAAATGGCTCATAGTAGTAGGAGACAATGCTGTACTAAATGCTACAGCAAGCTCCAGGATATGTGTCATCATCAAAGAGTCACCCCTCATGCATCAGTTTGCCAACAGAGAAGCAGAGCCAGATCACACTCATATCCATAGTAACGTTTAACAGCTTCTCCGTTACAGCTTAGTTGATTGGAGTACCCAGCAGATATGGTCTGGGGGCTGGGACATGGGCATTTGCCAGACCAAACCTGACATCTCAAAGGGATCATGCTTTGCCAGGTCAAGTGCTTTGTGTCCTTCACCCTTCCCACTTCTCTCCACTGCAGGTGTCCAACTGGTTTGGCAATAAGAGAATCAGGTACAAGAAGAACATCGGGAAGTTCCAGGAAGAAGCCAATCTCTACGCGGCAAAGACGGCTGTGACCGCAGCGCACGCCGTGGCTGCGGCCGTCCAGAACAACCAGACAAACTCCCCCACCACGCCAAACTCTGGTATGTACCTGGCTTGTGTTAAAGCATCCTGAAGGGCAGTCCCTAAAGGATGGTGCCCCAGGGAGTCTGGCTGGGCTGCAGCTCCCTAGCAGACCTACTTGTGGTACCAAGACCATTGCAAGGGCTGAGCGCTGCTGAAGGTGGTCTCAATGGCTTCAGTGGTGAAGCTCCCGCAGCCTCACAGGGGAGCAGAGCAGGGCCCTCATTAATTCCTGCAATGGTAACGTCTGCTTGGGCTTCTGGCAGCTTCTTTGTTTCTATAGATATTTTAAGCTTTTTCTCATTCAATGAAAATAACCTAAAATGAGGCAGAGCTCCAAGTCTGTTTTTGTAAGAACCGTTAAATTTATTGTCAAGATAAGAACAAAACAGAGGAATATTTTAGCATGCACTAATTAGAATTTAAACTCCAGGTTGCTTGAAATGGAGTTGATATTTTTATATATAGAAATCTAACAATGCAGCTTTTATTTTAGAGTTGCTCCGCCACATGTTCTTCTGCAGTGTTTAAAAATTGCCTCGCTAGTGTGTTGCTGACATTTTGCAAATCTAAGCATTAAATTAGGAGGGGGAGCGTGTAAAGAGGAAGTCACTTTTTTGGGCTCCAGAGGCAGAGGTTTCCATGAAACACAGATGTGTTTGACACTATTTATAGTGAAGTTTTCCTGCGAGTTAGTTGTAGACAACTTTTAAAGAGTGTAAAGATCCATGGGGAAAAAAAAAACCCTTTTAAACAAAAGTAAGAAAAAGGTTCCTCCTCTGAGGGTAATAAATCAGCTAATTAGAAATTGCCATTTCCTTGTGAAGGAGACATGAAGCACAGACCCAAAATGAGTTTTTCTCCGAGTGTTTGGTGATAGCATCTCACAGTGGAGCAATCCACCGGAGGAAAGCTCTCGACATGAAAACCTGTTGTTGTACAGGCTGCTCTTCCACAGGGAAAAGCTGACCTGGGTTGCATGGGGCTTCCAGCTTTCCCAGCTCCTGGGTGGCAGCCAGTGCTCGCCCTGCACCGGGGCCAGCAGCTTTCCCTCTGCTGTGCGCTGCCTTTCCTTCTCTTCTCCTGTCTTCTTCTCCTTCCCCTGCCCTCAGGTCTCTGGGGTTATATATTTGCGGCTCTCTGTTATTCAGCTACCTAACTCTTTCCTTTCCAGGTTCTTCTGGTTCTTTTAACCTCCCAAATTCTGGGGACATGTTCATGAACATGCAGAGTCTGAATGGGGATTCTTACCAGGGGTCCCAAGTCGGAGCCAATGTGCAGTCACAGGTAGGAGAAATGCCCCAAAGTAGGGCCTTTCTAGCAGGGTAGGGTTTGGGCTAAAAATTCCACCTTACTCTGGCTCTATTAAATGGTCTGTGCCTCGCTGCAGAGTGGAGGCTGCTTATTTCTGAATGTGACCTACTCTTACTCCGGCATTGAATTTCACCAATATCAAGGAAAGAGCGATTTTTTTCTGATTGAAATTTTAAGCTTTGTGAATGCATTCGGCTCTGGCTTGAGCTCATGGAATGGGATTGGGTGCGTCTGACTTCCATGGACACTGTAAATCCAGTGAATTTCCTTTCTTTTCTCCTTTCTTCTTTTTTTTTTTTTTTCCCTCCCCCTTTTTTTTTTCTTTTTTAAAAGCCATCTTTCTTTCATTGATTGGACAAGCCTTTATTTATTTATTTACTTATTTAAATGTCAGAACTCATCTAACTGAGCTATTAAAATACAACTCATTCTCAGTCACTTTTCCAGTCCTCCCAGACAGGGCTAACTCCACGTTCTACATGCAGTACCTATGCCATAATCTCTTCCCATACATGCAAGCACATACAGACATATCAATATGCACAGCACTTTGCTGCAGACACTTAAGAAGGACCTACAGGACGCAGAGCTGTGAGGAAGTTGTTGTTTGGCTGGTGTGAGAAGCAAGATGTATGGGTTTTAACATGCAAGGATTTGTTGAAATTCTGCCAGTCATCCTTGATTGATAAATTTGCCTTTCATAGAAGATGCTAAACCCTTTTGGCTCACATAATTCAAAATGTTGCCTATTGTAAGTGATGATGTTTTAATAGATTTGGAATGATGAATTTTGTTTCCCCTTACTTTAAGGTGGATACCCTGCGTCATGTTATCAATCAGACGGGAGGATACAATGATGGCTTGGGAGGAAATTCACTGTACAGTCCACATAATTTAAATGTGAGTACCCAGGGGAACAATAGTTTGGAGAGCCATAAGCACAGTGTCAGGTAAATGCAGTCATTAATACATGTATTAATTACTCTTGCAATAGTGTTTTTTAATACTGCTTCTTTGGGGATGAACCACGGAATAGCCCTTGGTACAGCTCTTGATAACATGAGAAGAGAGAAATTCCTGGAGCTGTGACTATAAGCAGTTGGAATTTTTATAATTTTCAGCCTTATGAGTTAAAAAGTAATAGCCTTGGAGAGAAGGCTCCTGTTCTTCACCCGGAGATGGCCAGATAACTCTGTACTTGTGTTTGTTATTGCCTGCAATCAGACACCAGCACTGTGCTTTTGATATACTTTTAGCCATTTCAAGGGTGCACATTTTTCCTGTGTTTGAGAAGTACTTTTGGCCTTGTTACTCCAAACGGGAGAGAGTAGTAAGTGTGGCAAACAGATGCTAGTAAATTGAGGGATTATAGGCTTGATGGTGATAGGTGCTAAATGTCCTACCTCTCGCTGTAACCGATGGGATCTGACAGTGCTCAGACCCTCGCAGGCTGGACCCCGTGGCCTGCACACGAGGCGCCAGGATAAATAAACGCAGAGATCCGTTCTTCTGTCGGCATGAAAGCCTGGGATGAAATACCACCCACGGCAGCAGCCTCTGTGGTGAGGGCTCCATGGCAGATCCTCTTCATCCTTCATTTCCAGCTCGTTTCTCTCATTTATAACTTCAACGATTAACGCCTTATGGGGGTGTTTTTAATGTTTCGTATTTGCTCGAGAGGTGATTTTCATTTGTTTTCCTTCATATTCATGGACTTCAGCATTACTGTAGAGAATTCCCTGTCCAGTGACTGTCACCCCCATGCCAGGGGCTGTCCCCGTGTCTCACAACCCGCTGTGGGTCGGCATGTGGGTGCTGAGCATTGTCGGGAACCCACAGAGAGGGAAAACAGGGACACCCAGTGTGAGACACTGCAGCCACAGGGAATGGGAGCTTTTTCCTTCTTTTTGGGTTTCCACTTGCCATGAGAGTAAATATTAATGATTTAAAATGTGATTGAAGATGTTCAATTGTAAAGGGAGAAAAGTACCATTAAATACTCAAATCTTTTACATTTGAAATGTCAAATCTTTCTTTTTGGGTTTATAAATAACTCATAATAACCCACAACAAACCATATAAAAAGCCTTTTAGTTGCATTTCTCCTTTTTCATTTAAGTGTTTTGAAATGCTTCAGAGAATTTGCGATATCCTTATCAACATGATAAAATATGAAACTGTGATTGCCTGCAGCATTTTACAGACATGAATTCCATCTTCACTGATGAGGCCTGATAAGGCGCTGTTGTATAATACAGTGCATAATCTCAAACCACCAGAGTAAGGATTAATTTATTTGAAAAAAAGAATGCTTGCTGACAACCTCTCCTCCAGCTGCCAAGCTGAGTAAAAATATTGTACATTTGTTGTTTATAAATTTGGATAAAAGAGGAATGATGTTTACTTCAGATGGAATATCTTCAGACTCATATCTGCACAAGAGTTTTTCTTTCTCTAAGTAGATTCTCATATCTTTAAAAAATAAAAAAGCAGCGGTGCCTCTGCATTTGGAGTAGGATTTTGTACCGTTTGCAGTCTGCATCTGCACACTTGAGTGTTTTAAAGCGGGTGGTGAGGTTTCAGCCTTGACGTGATTGCGGGTTGGTGTTGCTGTTAATTTTACTTAAGAGAAGCCAAACCTTTGCATTTGTCAGGAGAAGAGCTCCTCTGTTTGCTGGTTTTCATCTGCAAAGGAGATAATTATTACTGAGCTTTCTTTCTCCTCCCGATGAAGCCATGAAGCGTTTTCTTTTGTCGTGATAGATGAACAATGATTTCAATGTAAAATCCAGCCAGGTTGGGTGCGGGGGCTTGAGGGCTGACACCAGGCAGGCGTGAGGTCCCACATGCTGCCATCGCTCCCTCTGCCCCTTCCTCCCGGGAGAGCACAGTGTTCCCACAGCCCACTGATGGTTTTGGTAACGAAGCACGTCATGATGGCATTAGCATAGGCTAACCTTTCCCTGCCGGGAAGCATCCCTGCCAAGGCCGGGGGCGCTGGGAGCGCGGGGCTCTCGCGGGCTGTGCGGAGAAGCCTCCCCGTCACTTCCACTCAGCGTCCCCCAACTCATGAGCCCCGCGCCTCCCTCTTCTTGACTGACATAAAAATATGGAGCGACAAGCTGTCTGCCAGAGCAGAAATTTGATCAGACATTGATTTCAGCAATTGCCTCCATTGCCCGAGACATAAGGCAAATTTGTTCCTGAGCGCTGCTCGCGCTGAGGCAGGGCTGGGGCCGGCGGCGTGCGGAGACACGGAGCGGCGTCCGGAACACGTTTAGAGATAATTGGAAAGCCAACCCCAGCAGCCCTTTCCCGCCTCTTTGTGTGCCAGGGTCCGCAGGTGGAGGGCTCTGCTGGGTGGAGAATGGCAATTCCGAACTTTGGGAAGCAAGGGGGTTAAACACAGATTGCCCCAGACTTGTCTTCTCAAGGGAAAAGCCGAAGTGTTGGCTGAAGGGATGTTCTTCATTAAAGCGTGGATGGTCTTTGCAGAAATCACAGAGTCCTAATTGCAGCTCACATCTGGCTAAACGGCTGCTGGTCTCTCAGCTTTCCTTCCTGCTGCAGGCTCTGTGTCCAGCATCCCTCGCCTAACGCCAGCCACTTTTTCCTTACCCGAATTCTGCAGCCAGAGGGAGTGTAGGAAAATGTCCTTCCCAGAGCATCTCTTCCCAAACCCCGGGCTTGCCAGTCTGATATGTTCAGTGTATGGTGTAATTAATATGCGTAATGGTATCAATTGAATTGTTTTTCCCTTTTCAGGCTAATGGAGGCTGGCAGGACGCAACTACTCCATCTTCTGTGACTTCCCCTACAGAAGGGCCGGGAAGTGTGCACTCTGATACCTCTAACTAATCTCCTAGCAACACTTTTTCCCTGAGCTGAGATGCCTTGATTAGCGCATTCAGAGTCACAGGAGAAAAAGGAAAAGAGTTTTTTTGTAGCCAACCACCTACAGCTTTACTGTAAAACCTTGTCTTATTAGAAAACTTGGTAAATCTGTTTTTTAAAGGTATCATAATCATTTGTATTTATACTTAAAACACACAATGTTAAAAAGCACTTTATCCAATTAGGCCAAGATTTAGCATTGTTTATAGCCCTGTAACTATTTTATCATAATTTATTATCAGCAGTTTTAACAATGTTGGTCTAACAGTTGCCAATTACTTGGCCTTAAGGGTAAAAGTACAGGACAAGCTTAACCTCAATAGCAAGAGCAGACACAAAGGACCGCCTCACCTAAATTTAACTTTGTGCATATTTCCATGGAAAGTTGAAATGAATTGCAGCCTTTGATTGTGTTTAATCTTTTCATATCTCTTACAGAGTTGGAATAAACAGAGCTGTTCGGTTATTTCGGTTAACAATGGTCGTGTTTAAGAATCCTTATTCGTCACATTTTTGTTGTGATCTATTGTCTTACAAATTAGATTGGAAACCAGGAGCATCTTTTCTTGCTAAAACTACCCCAGACCCCGAGTCTCCTCCCTGTGTTTCGACACCGGCCATAGGTTGTTCTTAGGAGATGAAGACACTTGCTGCTGATGTCTGTGGAAGCCAAGACCCGGGGTTTTACAGTACGAGCTAGGTGCTGCACACGCCTGCCAAGACTTGGTACCTCTTCTTGGCAGCACACCACAAACAAAGGAAAAAAGCAAAGGATAAAAAGCACCATCATATGGAGTGTTGTACATAGTGTAGCAAAAGAGTATTTATACATCTCACCAATCAAACACAGCTTTATTACCTCATGCGAACTCATACAAACCAATAGACTTTCAACATGTTCTGTAGCTTAGAGTGCTCACTTACTACCTCTGAACGATACTCACGCTGTAGTTTGTCTCTTTCTTATCTTTTTGCATCTTGTAATTAACTCTTTGTTTCCCCATGAAATGTAATGTACATTGTAATCTTTTAAAAGAATCAGGGTTGCTTTGGCAACTTTTAAAGAAGCGAAAGTGGGAACATGGGGGTCTTGGGTTTAACACAAACCAGTGCAACTGTTGTAAATACTGAGAAACATTTTGAATGTTCTTCATCTTGTTACTAATCCACGCAAAAACCAACAACTAATTGTAATGCATACAGACTTCAGTATTCAGTACTGTATATTTCCCCCTGTGTAACAGGGGGCCCTTTCTTTCTCTCTTTTGTATTGTATGCGATTCTGAAACTGATTGAGTCATGAAAATAATTTGTGGCAGTGATTCTAATGTATTAAACCGTTTCGTGTTACTTTCTAACTGGATTACACCCTGGATTGAAAAGTCTTCCTCGTGGTAGTTATATGTAGTTTCAAACATGAATAAACTTTTTGCTTTCATGATCAAACGTTGACGTAGTTTCTTCCTGCTCAGTCGAAGTCAGACCTAGGAGCAAAAATTCAAGTGGAGGTGAAGGAAGGGGTCAGTCTGTTAGATGAGTTTAAAAATCATCATCATACTCCCTCTTGATTACCATCTTTATTTACCATTAACTTTGGAATTACAGCCTCGGCTACAAGTCTAATGTGATTATAACAATATTTTTCTTTATTAAACAAACTTTTTTGGAGGGACGTATATATATAAATGCTAATTTTAAATCTTTTTAATGAAGTAAAGGTCAATAACAGGTAATAGCCTATTTACCATATCTCAAGGAAATTGACTCACAGGAAATCAAATTAACGTTAATCACTTGCAGCAAATGGTCTTTGATAAATATAACTACTTACTACTCGGGTTAGTGGAGCTAGGCAGGAGGAGGCCAGCGCTCACTACTACCAGCCTATGTGAGGCTGGAGCCGAGGAGCTGCCATCCCTTTCCAGTGAGCTACTCGAGCCTTTAGGTGTTGTTTTGGTGGCTGAATGATTATTTGCATGATTTAGTTCGCTTGTGGGTCAGCTTTTATCAACAATTCTTGTATCGGTTATTGTGTAAAATACCTTGGTTTACCCCGGACCATGGACATCCTCTTCTCCCTCTGCATCCCTCATGCACCAGGTACTGCTTCTGACACAACTTCTCCATCAGTTTTAGAATCCAACATTGCCTCTTTCACAACAGGTGGTGCATTTAAATACATAAGTGAATAACTAGGCATGCATTGCAAAGCCTTCATTATCGTTTAACGGGAGATGGGGCAGATGGGGACTGTGGACTTCCGAAGACTTCTGTGTGCAGACGACAAAGCACTGAACGATTTGCATTTGCTAATGGAGCTCTCCAAGTCCATACACTTGGTGTTTATGCTCCAGCTCAATGGAAACAGTATTTTAAATGTAAAGTGTGTCAGTGGAGGCGTAGGCAGCGTAATGAACACACAGACGTCCCTCATCTTGATCACATCTCTGCTGGCCACAGGCAAGGACCTGTCACACACTGAGGAGGTTCATAGGAAGGCCATCAACAACCTTTGGGCTGCACTTGCATGCCCCATGCCCGCTGGGCATCATTAGCTTGCTTCTTTACAGCATTAAGGCTTTGGGTCCCTTTGAATTACAAGTGCAATTTGGCTTTTCCTTACATTGGAGAACAGCCACGTGGTTACATGGCAAATAATAAACATCCTATCCTTGAGGCTTGATCACACATCAGAAGGGTTTACTGCAAGCACCAGCATTAGGATCATGCTGCTGATGGTTTTGTGTTTCACCCAGCAGCTACACCCCGAAGGGCCGTCAGAGCCTTGTGCAGGAACAGTGGCTCATGCAAGGATCCCTGCTCCACGCACACACCCCGGGAAGGGATCTCTGCACCACCACATGCCCATCCTGGTGTGGGGAGGAGACCCTCATCCCTCCCACCCCTGGGACTGCTCAGTGGTGCCATCCTGGTTCCCTGGACCCAGATTTGAGCTGTTGGTGCATGTGAGCACTGCAGTGGCATGGGAGCAAAGCCACCAGCCCCGTCCCCTGTGGCTGTGGCTCCCGCCAGCCCTGGGAGGTGCCAGCCCAGAGACCCTGCACAGAACACAGCGGGAACAGCCAGGGATGCACAGTGGGAATCGCCATATCCCATGCCCGGCACTGACCTGATGAAGGCACCTGCTGCCATCACCGCTGTGACAGGCACGAGGATGTCTGGAGGACAGACCCTCAGTGTTCCCCATGTCACAGCTCGAACAGCCGCTCCATCGGACCTGCTGTGCCAGGAGCACCGCTGCACGGACACCGCACCAAGGAGCTGCCAGTGGCCGGGGTGTCCTGCAGGAGGGGTGGTGAGAGGCCCCAAGCCAGGAGAAGCACCCTGCAGCCCTCAAACCTTCGTGTGCCAAAAGCAAAGCAGGTGATGGTCTCTTCTCCCAGGCATTCAGACGCCAAGCTCCCTGCTCCCTGTGTACCTGGCCTTGGATACAACGAGGGATCCTCTGCCCAGGAAGGGAAGAGTCAGGAAGACTGTGACATTCCAGCATGGGAAAATCCATGCCCCATAGGACTGGTTCAACAGGAGCAGCTCTGCTGACACTGGAACTTGGTGCTAACAGTAGCGATGCCTTTTGCAAAGACCACACACGGCTTGGATGTAAGATGCTGATGCCAGTATCTGTGCCATGTATTTCCAATGTGATGAAAATAACTCGGAGTAACTGAAGATGTTTCCAGTTTGTGTTAATAAAATACATCTTTGTAAAGAATGGAATTCTTCAAAGATTGGCAAATTTTATTTTATTTCATTAGCTTTAATGTCACTGCCATATGGACTGTGAAGAAAAGTGAACCATTAGATCAGAGGGACTGAGTTATCAGCATGACACAGAAAGCACTGATACAATTGTTAAGGATAAGCCCTGGGAGTGATTTATTGCATGCATTGTATTAGCCACAGAGGAGTTATGATATGCTCCCCATTTCTGTATCATATTAGGATTTTATTAGTCTAATATGACACGGTAATATAATATATGATTAGAATTCCCATCCAGTTATCCTTCCCTTGGTGGCAGAGCAGGGGAAGGTTGTGTGCGCAGTAGCTTCCCAACCATCGCACCCACGGGTGGAGAGGGGGTGCCTGGGATGGCAGGGATGCTGAACTGGTCTCCTGGGCTTTCCAGGTGGGAAGTGGAAGCTGTGGGCATCCTGGGCACTGAATTTGTAATGAGTGAGAGCGGGAAGGGCGATGTGGCACTGAAATCTTTGCTGAGAGCCAAGCTGTGTCCTAAACGGCCTCAAGCTGCACCAGGGGATGTTTAGATGGAGCTGAGGAACAATTCCTTCCCCAGAGAGTGCTCAGGCATTGGAACAGGCTGCCCAGGGCAGTAGTGGAGTCACCGTCCCTACGTGTTCACACCCCGTGTAGACGAGGCCTCAGTGACAGGGGTTAGTGGTGGCCTTGGCGGTGCAGGGGAACGGTTGGACTTGATGATCTTAAAGGTCTTTTCCAACCTGTTTGATTCTCTGGTTCTCTGATTCTGTGACCGTGCTGCCAGTTCAGCTCAGCCCCTGGCTGCAGGATGCACTGACATGACACACTAATTGCAGTGCCTCATTACAGGATCCCGCTTGCCCCCACATCTCTCCCGGGGTGACCCTCCTCATGGAAACTCGACTTTCCCGACAAGATAAACTTTGCTTCAAAGTTTCCCTGGCATCTCCCGTCCACTTGTCACCAGATCCCCCCATTCCGCCTGGGAACAGGCTCTGGAGCAGACGCTGTTTGTAGCTTCGTTCTTGCCTCCAGCAGCAGCAGCAGGAGAAAAGAGAAGTTCAAGCATATCATAGTGCTACTAGGTGATAAATCCCCAAATCTATATCGAAGTCTATTTGATCATCTTCCTGTCATTGATATAATAAAAAGGATTAATTTATTGGAGACTGCCAAAACCCTCATGTGGCAACAAATTTAAGGATCTTGTTTACACAGGCTGATTAAAACCAATTACTTTCATTCATATCTGTGGCTACTAACGTGGATGCAGACGTGCATCCCTGTGTAGGGATGCTGGAGGTGCGTATATGGCAATGTGGCCAAGCCCTGTGAGCCCCTTTCCTGAGTGGTGGGTCCCCTTGGGAAGGTGGTGGGGACCCACTGATGTTCCCTCACCATTTGCTTTGGGAGAGCAAATGGGGCTGTTGCTCATGACAGGAGATCACCTATTAGCGCTATCTGTTGGAGTAATAAAAGGCTGCATTTTTTGGTGGTAAAATTCAGCATCAAGAGCACGCGTCATTAAATATGGAAATCCAGAATTTTATTAGCAATCTGCTAGATCTGAACTGACGCCAATTAAACAAAAAAGATATCATTTATAAAAAAGGCAGAGTTCAACTTGTATTAAATATGAAATGCAATTTTCTGCTGGTTGTGATTTATTACCGTTGGTACATTGTTCAAAGAAGCATGTTATATTTCAATAGAGAAATATTGTTTATTCATTAATATTTTAAAACTTGCTTATTGCTGGGTATGACTCTCCTGCAGAATGAAACTTATGATTTAAACCATGAATTAATAAACACATTTGAAAGTGTTAGACAATATCATAACCACTCATTTTTCATTTTACTGAGAGCGTATTAAACTTTTATAATTCTGTGTGTACTATTATTCTCCAAATAAAGGTATGGGCTCTAAATTACTAATTTCAGGTAAAGATGAGAAAAAGCAATAACATATGTTGGGAATCACTCACTATGTCATGCTAATATGGGCTCGGTACTTGTGTTGTTACATTATTCATAGATCTTCTGCTTAGCGCCACATACCCTTAACAGGGTTCCTGGGTACCCCAAGTGCTCCTCCATCAACAGATGGAGGGTTCCAGGTATGGCAGCACCATGGGGATGTGTCGTGCTCCTAATGCGAGGAAGCATTTGATAGAGGCTGACATCCTAAATGAGGCCGAAAATATTTGATACAAAACGTGATAAAGCAATAATGATCTCAGAGGCCTTGGGTTATCTTGGTTATTACCTGCACCCACCACTTGAATCAGCAGCATTAAGGGGTCCAGACCTGATACGTAGATACCTCTGAACTGATTAGTCCTGAGTACTTTATATAGACTCAACCTATCAGTGGCTTGATTTAAACTAACCTTTTTTGTATCTTAAAATCTCTCCTGCCGCAGCCTCGCTGTATTACCATAACAATAACTGGTATTTCAATTTTAAGAACTCATTTTTCCTCAAATAGAAAGTGCCAATCAATTTAAAGAGCAGAAGATGCACGCTCAAGGAACAGGCAGGGCATGTGCTCGGGGTGTCTCACCCTCTTGCTCCAAGCCATTGTGGCCGGGAAGCATTTTCCAGCACTGGACACACTCCTTTGTCACTGGCCACCGCACTCAGCTCTAGGGTGAAGGGGATTTACCCTGTAACCTTTAATCATGAGGGGTGGAAATAACTGAG